AGTTCCTGCCTATTTGGCAGGAAGATGAAAAATACACAGAACATGGCCAATCTGGGGAGAATTTAAATAATGCATAAGGGACCTGTTAGTATTTGTAGGCAAAATGAAGGAATCAGAAGAACAGTTATAGACTGAGGCTGAATGGATCTTAAAACACATGTGGCAAACAGCAGTTTCATTGTGGGCTCCTACTAAAGCAGCCCATAAGCTGCAATTGCAGTGGAGGGACAGGAGGGTTCAAGCAGAAAACACAGCTCCCACTGGTGGAGTGCCTTTAGTGTGGGAAACAGCCCCAAACTGCTAATAGTTGTTAGTTCTACAGCAAAGCCAGTAGAAATGTCAGGAAACCAAAGTTACAGACACCTGCAGGCAACCACAGGAAGTTCAGCACAGCTTTATGATGGCAACAAAATGGACTTTCTGACTCTCCAGGTGAGTATTTGCAGTTTAATAGTATAGAATCTCTGAACTGTTTAATTTGGAGGAATTAAGTGAAGTATTATTTTACCCTCTTTCTTTATAAGTGGAAGAAATAGGACTGAAAATGGAGTTAAAGAGTCATTTTTAAACAGGATTATCACAGACTACTTAAAAAGGTGAATTTGAGGAAAACCTCAAGACTTTTAAAGACCCGTACTGTAGAACTGCTGATTTCCCCGGGTGGTAATAGCAACAAAATGACTTAAAACGACAAGTAATACACGCTACTACTCTCAGCCATGTGGTGATAGGGTCATGCTGCACTCTGGAAAATGGCTGGGAGACATTTGGCAGCATCAACAAAGCATGAAGTGTCTCCAGGCTACACAATATTATAACTTCAACCCAAACCAGAAATAAACTAAACTCATGTATGAGGCAGTGGAGGTAATTCAGGATGGCAGTAAAAGGCAGGAAAGCAGAAATTTGTTTTAGAAGAGAGCAAACCCTCTATTTTGCCAGAACACAAAATGTGCCTGTGGAGCTTGTGATGAGGAAACTGTTTCAGCTGCTTATCACCCCTTTACCTCTTCCCTCTTCCCTTTCCCCACTGTTGTGCCTCTTCCAAAGCTCTCTACTTAATTTGGTTCTGTAAAAAGAGAGTTAGGAAAAATTAGAAAATGATACTACATTAAGCAAGGTGCAGCACCTCTCCAGAGAATAGAAAGGCAGGTGATTAGGCAGTATGTAAACACAATTCACTGCCTTATCCAGTTGTACCCAAGGCCAGTTATTGCACCACCTACTAGTAATTCATTCATAAGAATGACTAGATTATTTTGCAGAACCAGGCTGGGGAAAAACAAATATTTGTCAGACAGCTCAGCTATTAGAACTAAGAGATGGCATTTGGTCATAGTGGGGCAGGGTGGATGACAAATAGGTACATCATCCAAAATATCTGACCATCTCCCGCAGTGCATAGAAGTGGGTACTGTCCTTCTGCATTAACTGTAGTGAATGGATTGCCTTGTTCATGGCTGTACAGAAACAGAATTCTGTGTATGTCTAAAGTGATTGAAGAGTTGCTCATGCTGCCACACAAAGTCCACCTAGGATACAAGAGATGTTGCTCTTACTGCCTGGAAGATTGCACTTCTACAGGGTCAGCATTATTCTCAGTTGTCATCAAGTGGGGCTTAGTCAGGGGTGGGGATTGTGAGAAACAAAGATTGATATCTGCACAATCAGGTAAATTGCTATGTCATCAGGCATCAGTGGTACATTTCAGGTGTAAAACTCTGAAGAAATGAGACCCCCTATTTTTCTACTCTTTTGCTTTTCTTTCTACTTTAATCACAGCTATACAAAACATCATTTGTAAATCCAGTTTGTGTCAAGAAGAGGCACCAGCAACCACCTTTACGATGTCTCATGGACCAGACTTTTTTTACTAACTTGTTCAGGGATGGTGTTCCTATCCCCTCACCCAGAGGACAGTCTGTTTGCCCTGAATGCTGGCACACACTGTCTCCTAGCAGGAGCTGACAACCAAGCTCAGCAATCTCTGCTGAAGGATACCATACCATGGCTCCGTTACTCTTAATGCAGGGATGACTTCAGGTCTGTTTTTACTTAAACCCAAGATGACTAAGTGTTTACTAAAGCCAGCTGTTCTTCATGGGGTAGCTTGATAATTTTATGATGGTCCTTTTCTAATAAATCAGATGCACAGAGGAGGTAATGACAAGCAAACACATGTATGCTATCTCATAAAAACAAACAAAATATAAACAATGTAACAATATCACCAGCATGCTTCCAGACGTGCTTGCGCCTCACTTCCTAAGCACAAGTTCCTACCAAGTCCACTCAACATCACTGAGAGTCTGCCTAAATAAAATGAATCAGTGAGGGGATTACAAATGTAGCTGCTGCTGGAAAAAGACAGTGACTCCTCTTGCTCTGTCCTATTTGGGTCCTTGTCAGTAGGCTACCTCTGTTTCTGTCACGTTCAAGCCCCCTTGCCTCTACTTCCGTGCCTTTTATAGCTCTGACCTCTCCATTGGGCACCTGAACCTCTGCTATCCTGGCTCCCCTCTGGTCTGCCAGAAGCACAACCTCCTCCTTTGATGTGCCTCTTCCACTACACCCATTGACTCCCACAAACTCAACAGTAAAGCCTGCAAGATCCCCTCCTTTTCCCTGACCCTGCATTTCTAGTACAGAGAGCTTCACATCAGCTCTGGTCTCCGGGAGTTGCCAGTTCATTAACATGCCAGGCCTGTTTCAGTTTACATTTATAAGTAGTTTAGATGAATACGTAATTTCACCAAGATAATGTAGAGCTCTACCACAAACTGCATTGATGGCAGCATTACAGAGACAACCTATGGATCTTACTCTGATGAGGCTTTTAAAACAGATGTTTTCATTGATGCTTTGAAAAATAAAAGAAGTCCTAAACTCAGATGCTCAAAATAAGTAATCTTTTCTAATCATAGTAATGGTAAAAAACAAGAAAACTTCTCTTTTTTTGAAACTTCTTTGTTGAAACCAGTCCAGCCTGATATTCAAGAAGGGCCTGTAACAAACCATTTTGTTGTCAGTCTTCTTGGGCAAGGAAGCAATTTTTTCCTTCAGGTAATCATATTCTGGAAACAAGGATGCACAATTTATATCCTTATATAGTGGCAGATCATCCAGTTCAGTTGATAGAGCTTTATAAGATGCTTCTATGCTGCTATGCAGTACTGACCACTATTTTTATAATTTCCTTTGATGGCTCAAATGCTTCTTTGCTTTTAGAAAAACAAACTCAAGAACCATTCTTTAAATCAACCAATGTGACTTTTTTGAGAGAAAAAAAAGTTAGGCAAAACAGCACAAAATCTGAAAGGCAACCTTTTTGGTTCACTGTAGGTTAATTAAATACCAACATACTTTGTTCACAAGAAATTCCTTGATTTTCTTTACCAAAAAAAGAATACTCAAACTACCTTACAAAAGCTTATTATAGTCAATGGAGCCTTTCAAGACATTTTGGTGTTTTTAATCTGAACTGCAAAGAACATGATGAAACCCCCATTATGGTGACACAGGCATTTTTTACCCAGGGAAGTTTACACAAGCTGCAGCTCCAGTTACCGTAACCCTACCTCGGATCCCAGTTTAGAAGTCCCCTAGTCCCCACCAATGTCAGCAGAAATATCAGATTGGAACAGCACACTTAAGATGTTCTTTGAAATAGAGGACAAACATATGTACATGCCCTGACCCAAGGAGGATTTTTACCAGTTTCACTAATCTCTAGACCCTGGTACACATAATATGACTGCTGCAACTTGATTCCCCCAGATAATTATAAATCCAGAGAAGATCATAGTAAAATGCATGGCCAAGACTCAAGACTCCTGAAGTCTGTGTCAATCTTTTCACCTGTGTCAGTGACCTCTAGTTAGGTTTTACAGCTGCAAAGAAATAATTAGAAAAAAATGAAAGTCTGTATAAATAAGTAGATTTTCTATCTTTTCCACTGCAACTTGCTCAGTTTGTTCTTATACTTCTCTCTTTTAGAGCATATTGGTTGTTGTCTCCTAAATGCCAACAAAATGAAAAAGCTGAATATATAGCAGAACATATCTGAAGCTTGCAATAATTCCTGACAAGATGAAACAGAAACCTGGGCTCACCTTTTCATTTTTCTTCTTGAGCAGATCACCAGCTGTTGTCTCCGAGAAAACGTGCATCCTAAAGGGATTTCCAGCTCTTTTTCTATAATCACCCACCCTGCAAACTTTACGTTTTTGAACATGGTGTTTTACACTTGAATTATGGATAATTAATGTTTTCACCTTCTCAATCAGAGGCCCTACAAGCTTCTGTAGTCCAGCAACACTTTGTTCAAGTCCATCTAGTCTTTTAACCTGCTGTTCTGCATTCTTGTTTATATCACAAAGAGATTTTTTCATTTTAAGGCAAAGTCTCTTCACTTCATTACTTCTCAGTTTTTTGTTTCTTTCCATCCTTGATCCAGGTTCAGATGTTTCCGCCTTTACCATCTCAATGTCTTCTTCAATGCAACATATTTCTTGGGAAACACTGTTAAGCTTCTTAAGTACATTCTCTTGCAGAGTCAACAGCTTATCAATTTTCTGTTCAAGGGAGGCAAACTTCATATCCATGATGTTAAAACTTTCAGATGTGCTGACATCACTGCTTTCAACTTGAAGAATTTGAGGAGGTTCCATTCCAGTATCAGGCCCTTGGTTTTGCAAAGCGTTTGGATCAAATATTTTGGCCAAGTTGTTGACCATAGACGTAGAAGAGCTCTGCCTGCTGGATGTGGTCATTTTGCTGGTTTGGGTATGGGAAGGAAATGCTCTGATGATCAGCTGCTTGAGGACAATATCAGTTGCAAAGGCTTCCCATCCAGGCTGCTCAGATATACAGCCAAGTTTGGCAACTCCAGCTCAACTAATTTATAAACTACTCTCAAATATTTGACTAAAACAGAGGAATGAGAAACCCAAATTATTTAGGAAGAAAAATGTCCTTCATCCATTCTTTTTTTTACATATATATATATCTATCTGTCTCCAAATGACGTGAATATAGAGATGCATATCCTAAATGGACTCAGTTCAGTGACTTTAGCCCTAGCAGGGACTGAACTATTTGCACTCGAATGGCATTTGACAGCAAAAAGGCTACACGATACGTGAGAAGTCTTTAAGGGTAGAAACACTTTGGCAGTGGTGTTGTTGCTTTTCAAAAGCCTAGTATGTAATGTGATCCCTGCTCTGAAGAGAATAAGGGTCCTTACAGGGAACTTAAATGTGGCTGCTTGAAATTTCTATGTTTTAAGGCAAACTTTTCAGATGAAAACTTCTATTCCTTGAGAAGCCTGTTATGCCAGTCAGGAAGTCAATAGAGTGGTTAAAAAAAATATAAGAAAGAAAGTAAAATAAGAAGGAGATACTGGAATGCAAATAATTGGGAAAAAAAAAGAAAATCAGAGCCTTTTTATCTATTCTACGTCTCAGCTACCACACAGCTAGCTATACACAAGCGACTAACTTCATAGCCAATATCTTCATTTACTTCTGTATTTATCAAGACTCTGATAATTTGCCACAAATGAAGAGGCTTTATGTCTTACTATGATGTGGTCATACAATACCAAAACAGAACATTTGATAGAGACTCAGCTCTTTTCTTTGTTTGCCTGACAGTCAAGGTCTCAAAACCAGTGATTAGTATTTGTAACTCAAACAGTTTATTTAAGTGTAGGTCTGAACTGCTGAACACCTCTTATCTTGGTTAGAAAAATAAAAACAGAATTAAAAAGAAAGAACAAAACCAGAACTTCTCATCTTAAGTCAGCTATACTCCTCCAAGTGAGCAAAAAGCAAATCAGTATGGATCAGCTTGATGGAGACAGGCTGCCTCTGAAATACAAAGAAAAGGCTAACTTGGACAAATGACAGATTGACCACACATAGGTCAGTCTGCACTTGTGCCATACCTCTTATAGAAATGAACACATAAAGTCAGCCAGCTGGTTGAAAAACATCCAGACTGCTCTCTATTCAAAGGATCAAGAGCTTCTTTTGTGATCCCCGTCAACTATTTCTTTTGCCAGCCTCAGTTTCCCCATCCTTCAAAGGGGGAGTATGAGAGATAATGAGGTAAGGTACATAGTGAGTTATGAATATCTAACACACTAAATAGCCTTTCATAATTGCATGGTCTTCTCTTAATTTTAGGTGCCAAACATGTCTTTTAGAAACAATCACAGTCGAGGTTTCCAAAAGCTTCCAAAGGCATTCTCCCACAATCATTTATGACTCAACATGTAGTCAGCGTTGACAAGGATAAGCTAAATCAGGAGCTTGTTCTCTGGTTACTGCAGGTTAATAAAGGAGAAAAGTTCATAAGTACATTTGTCACCTTCTGAGATCAGCATGTTACTGCAAATGAAAGGTGAACTGTGCTCATGCATGACCCTAAAACATGAATTGAAATCTCTTCCTTACATAACAGACATTACCAAGAGGTGAAAATCATTTGTTATTGTGCACAGCATATTCAGCGAGCAGATTGAGGTTCAATTTTTTAAAATAGGAAACAGGATAGAAAGCAAACAAACAAAAAGACAAGGAGTTTAGGGATCCCTATTTCATGGAAAGCATAATATATAGGACAGCATTTTAAAAAAGACAAGTAATACCAAAGCAAAGAATAGCATATTAGTTCCAGTAGAGTAGTTCTGCTTGAACCCCTCTGGCTTCTTCTGTTCATCTCTTCAGAAACATGAACTAAACCCTCCTAATAGTTTTGTATCTGCAGAAGCCCCTGTTGGACACAAACTTCCAGAAGAGATGTTCTCACATTCGTAAAATGGCCAGGTTGGAAGAGCCATTTAGCTTGGATGAAACATCCCTGCAGGAGTTCATGGTGAACTTCCCCCTGTCCTCTGCCCCTTCTGCACAAAAAAAAAGGTGAAAGGTTTATTAGACCTTGCCACCCATTCAGCTAGGACTCCTGCTGGGGGATTTCATAGGCAAGATTTGTCAATCACAAAGATTCTCTCCAAAAGGAACATTTTGTGAAAGCAGGAACTTATTAAAAGAAAAAAGAAAAGCACATACAGATAGCAATGGTAAAATCATGTGTTATATTAGTGTGCAAAGCCACATATGTTAAGCATTTAAATCTCTCCTAACAGTTGCCCAGGGAAATGTTATGTGAAATACCTCAAACCAGTACTATAAACACTAATAAAAATTTTAAGCTATGTGAGGTAAGATCCTATAATCAAGTATCATCAGTAAAGTCCTACTGATTTATTATATTATACCACGACATACAAAAATGCCAGACACTGAAAAGGTAGAAAGCACAGTATAACCATGCTTCATTAAAAACTCATCAGTACATGTTAGCAGTTCTGTTTGAACCTCAAGTGATGTGGAAGAGAACTGGAATAGGAATAAAAGTAAAAAAACTAACATCAGCTTGCTTTCTAGGCTCAGAAAGCTCTTGCCAGTACCTTCTGGAATCTGTGATCCCTGCCTCTTGCTCTGTAAAGTGGAAATAACCTTACATATTCAGATACTTTTCAGGAGTTTAGTGACAATTAATTGTTAAGGGAAAGTGTTCTGTAAAAAAATAGTGTCATTTAAAGTATTTGAACATTTCTTTTTTTAGTGTGGTGAATCATTACAGCTACTTTACTAAATTCAGTAATATTATATGTAAATAATTTGATCCATTTATAATACCAAATACCTGAATGCACTTTTCCTAGTCATTAAAATAGTCTCTTAGCAACTGTATCTATCAATAAGGCACAAAGCTGATATAACAGCTTTCTTATTTTCATCTTGAAAATAAGCTGGATTTGCACAGCTCCAAAACAGCTAATAAGTCTGTTGGAAGTTAATGGTGTGAGCTGCAGCAATGGCTACCTTTCATGAATTGAAAACAAAGAAACACAACCAACTAAAATACTTCAGAGAGAGAGAGAAATTTCACTAGCTTTAAAGATGACACGATTTCCCATATGACACGATTTTCCATTGCCTAATATTACAATTCAGAATATTGACACTAGGCCACTGCACCATGGCAGTGACAATATCAGCCTAAGGATTGACTCTAAACCCTGGGAAATTTTCCACAGAGGTGTGACAAACACCTACTAATCAATGGATAAAATGTGTGGAGTTTGATAATCTGCCATATGGTTTTATTTCTTCTATACAACTGATGCTCCATTGATGATGAATTCTTTTGAGTGGCTTTTACATTAAAAGAATTAACCCATAGTTCACTTTTACTTTAAGTTCATTTGGAAAAGGCTTTGAAGCATCATGTACCATTTTCAAAGTGTAGTGGCATCTAAAATTTGGAAGAAATAGCAATGTAGAACAATGAATACATTGCTCCTACTGTGACTGTCATTTTTAACATGTCTGCAGACATGATACAATGAGACTGTAAGAGATGTGATAAAACTCCATCCTTCATAGAGACAAAGTTTAAGGGGCTAAAGGTGAAGATTAGACAGATTAGAGAAGTAAAGTTTTCTTTTTGATTTCTCATGTGAACTCAAACTGCAGTCAGTGTTATTTTCTCTGCACAAATATGGAAAGCTGGCTAGCATTAGGAAATTAGTACAGCAGGTCTGTTTGCTGCACTAGCTCTGCTAGCTGTCTTTCTCTGAACAATGATCCTCCAGTTCAGAGGTGCACAGACCAAAATTTTAGCACATTCTAACCCTGACCCTGAGACTAATTCAGTTGGTTAGAGCCTGGTGCTAACAACACTAAGGTTGTGGGTTCAATCCCTCTATGAGTTGTTCATTTCAAGAGTTGGACTTGATGATCCTCGTGGGTCCCTTACAAGTGAGAATATTCTGTAACCCAAAGCCTGTGAAGGGAGGAAGGACCCAATGCCACAGTATGTGGATCTCAGCCTCATAGGTATTAGAGAAAAAAAAAAAAATTATCATAGCCCAGAAGATCAAAACAGTCTCTAATCAGTAAAAAGAGCTAACATTTTGGGGTGTTTAATTTCACATGACAACTTACCCATTCAAAGAAAACCTGCTTTCTGCTTAAAAAAGCTGTTCACTAAGTTTTCACCAACTCTTGATCCTCCGATCATACTGGTGAACTATTAACTACCCTTCTTTATCTTATCTTGTCTTATCTACTGGATCCATGTTAAATGAAGTTTTCCTTGCCCTCCCTGCCTTTTTAGCCTGAGTCTTTTCTATTTAGCTCAGTTCAGCTCTTCCTTTTTCCCAATAATTACGGCCCAGACAGAGCACCTTGTAAATTTATGGCTGCTGGCATCAAACATTATAAACAAGAGTACAAGTGGAAATGTTTGAGTCGTAAGGTCTTATTCCAAATTTTTTGGGCTGTAAGCCATGTACCAGGATATGCCACATTTTGTGGAAGACTGCTATGACTGATATTTATCTGGAGAACCACTGTCATCACTCCTGAGTTGTTCCAGACAAGGTATCTCCAAAACCCCTATTTACAGTTTAATATTTTATTTTTGTGGAGGGTTGGGATGCTTTTCCCCCAGAAATAACATGCAGAAATAACCTGCCATGCATGAGATGGCAGCACATGTATGATGCACACTCTATATTCCAGCCATTCCAAACTCATATTTGTAAACAGCAGAGGTTCCCCCAATATTTCTGTACCTATGTCCTTGTAAGGGTTAGGTTTGCATCAGTTGTACATTTAAGGGAGTGGGGTGCAGGTATGTGAACAGTTAGCTCTGATCTACAAGTGACAATTTAGACCTGGCCAATGTGACCTCCATCTTTGGAAGAACAGACTTTACA